AATCCACGTTTCCCTGTCCCAGTTTCTGTCTGTATATCACACAGAATAACACAGAAGCACAGTAACAGAAAAGTGAATTTATTACAGGAACCAGATTATGTTTTATATATGTGTATATGCTTTTTTACATAAATACTAAATACTTACCTTGAGCATATCCATTAGCAAATACATTTAAAATACAAAACATGATGTTGTCATCTTCATTTAATGTGACATATTTCTGTGTCTTCCCAGGACAAAAACAACTTGCAGTCACAGCTGGCCAGTTTATTTTCATTTTCTAATATGTTAGATCTCAAAATAAATATTAAAGAGACCATATTTTGAAAGAGTTATATAAAATAAAGAAAATTTAGTCTGAGAAACTGTCTAAAACTGATTGCAGTAATGCACTATCACCAACACTATTAGACACACATGCACTGACTCTTGAGATTACAAATCCTGGCTTTAGGCTTTGTTTCTTATATCACACTGTTATCAGTCAGCCGCTGTTATATAACCACTTTCTCTCTCTGTATGTGTGCATATGAAGGAAGGAACTCACCAAAAAGATGAGGCTATTTGACATATCAATAGTTTATTTTCCTGTGAACTTGCTCATAATTTTAACATCTGAGGAAGTGATGCTGCAGTTTCCCATACATGCATTCATCCTGCTTGTTTGTACAGTGATTCTGCAAAAACACCCTTTTCAGTGTGATTTTGATTAAAGACAATTATGACTGCAGTGACTTTGTGTTTGCAAAATTACTAAAGACTTGCAAAACAGTTTCTCAGTTTTTACTAATCAAAAATGCGATGAGCATCTTTCAGGCTGAGGTTTGTTCACACTTTGTCCAACAAGCTGCAACATAGTTTGTCTCCTGCTTTGTAACTGGCAGCCAGAAAGACATTCCAGAAAGGAAAGTGTCTACAAGTAATCAATAAAATCAGCGACTGATAATTCATGTGGGAATTGTATTCTCAAAGTGCTGTGTAGCTACATTCTTGACACTACAGCCAAAGTTTTCCAGATTTAATGGGCAAGTTAAAGCAGGCCCAGCTGCTGGATCCAGCTGGCTTGTTTTAAACAGACCACAGCCAGTCACTCTACCTCCTCTCTTAAATTCATTCATACAGTCAAGAATCCACACTGGCAGCAGTGGCTAACATTACTGCTGCTACATATAAAGTTGCTCTAATATATTCCCACAGGAAGGCTTCACTCTAATGTAATGTTTTGGCTGCTGCAGGGGGTCTAAAGAGTAGCAATGCTCTTTAATGCACACATAAACACAACTGCAGATAAACATACATACACACGCCCACTGTTGCCTTGAAAGCCAAGCATGGAGAGCTGTACTCAGGGAAGAATAATTATAGATGGCGTTGAATTTCCTGCTCTCCACTGTGTGCAAACACTGTTTAGCCAAGAGGGGTTTGCTTACTTCACATTTACACCATGGTATTCCTTGGCAGCAGGGTCACATTATTTTAGTGTGTCTGAAATTGAAGGCTTGACAAGCAGCCAGCTGTGTCACCAGTTGGTACACAAGTAGCATGTTTTCCTATTTCATTATTTTGAGAAATAGCCAAAAAGAGTAGCTGCTTCACCAGGATTTCTCGACATTTCTTATAATGTTTTAACATCCTCACATTGGAGAAGTGTAACATTCACTGCATTGCCTCTCGCAGTTCTCCACATCCACTGCAAAATGAAGCTGATTTTTGACATCGTGAGCTCAGAATGAGACTGGTTGTAAGCGAGGACATGCTGTGTGTATGCATGAATAACTGACTGACTGCCTTCAGGTGCATCCTGTGTATGTATGCATGAATGCACGAGGCACTGCTCTCCACATACCTGGAGCTGTTTGTCGCAGAGAATGGATTGTAATTGAATATATTTCCCTGAGCTGGCAGTGAAACCACATTACCAGCCCCTTTGCAGGAGAGAGTCCAGGGAGAAGGCACAATCACCCTCAGGGAGAGGGGTGGGACAGAAGAAGAGGAGCAAGAGAGACTTTGATTTAGTCAAACCTGGAATAAGAATCAGAATAAACTGATTCTAATTCTGAAGAATAAAGGCTGAAGTGATAAAACCAAGAAAGATAGCAAAGGCCCACCCCAAAGTAGTGTTTTAGTAAGGTCTTGCTGTTTACCACCACAGCAGCTTCAGGCGTCCTTTGCTATAAGGCTCTGGACTCTACTGGAGGGATGAACTTTGTTCCTCCATTATTCCATCATTAGTGACTGTGCAGACCACGGCATGTGATTGAAATATGTGATGGAAGTGATGCACGTGTGGACGCATCTGCAATCAGTTTATATCTTTCTAGTAGTTTTCTTTTTTGCTACATGTGTCTATGAATAAAATATACAGAGAAAGCAACGACTGGCAGAAATGAGAAGAGAAGCAAATAATGAGATTGAGAGGAGAAAACTGAGTTTACCTTGTTTAATTAAAGCTAGCTCAGTGCTTCTTGTCATTCTGGCTTTGTCCATTCCTCCAGTGTTTATTGTTTAGAGCAAGAGATTGACAGAGTGGGGGAGAGAGAGAGAGAGAGTGGAACAGGCAGAGCGAAGGAGGAGATGCAGAGGATGCTGCAAGGAGAGGAAGACAATATGATGTGACAGTGGAAAATGGGCGGGGGGATAAAGCTGTCTTGTGGGTGTTAGCCGGTTAGGCCACCCACCACTGGCTGTTGCCATGGTGATGCCATGGTAACGACCAGGTGTTCAACCAGGAAGGAGCAAGGCCTTACAAATGTGAAGGGGCTTCCTCTGCATGTTTATTCCTCGTTTTTTCTGTCATAATTTGCCTAAAGTCAGCTTGTGGTTCTCAGTTATCACTTGCCCTAAGGGTGGCTGTATATAAAAACAGTAATATTTTACATTTCTAATCCAGCAAATCATTCACCAAAATCTGCAAATTCCCGCTTCATGATCTGTATCTCATCTGTCTCAACAGCAGTTTCTGGTTGTGTTTTATTTAAGTTTTAAAACATGCAGTATGAGAAGTACATACATATGTAGAAGTATTTGTGTTTCTCTGACTCTTTGTATACAGTGTGTTTTTAAGGCCCAGAATATTCTGTATATGCAGAAAAGACACACAAGCACAAGATCAAAACCTTCGAGTCCATGTTACCTCTTAGAAGCAGCTTAACTCATGTTTATGCACTGAATGATTGTTGAGGTCAGATACGACTATTTTCTGAATATCACTGTATGTGTTGTTTTGTACATGTGTATGTCTCGCCCCGGCCTAAACCCATAAGCTGATTTGATAACATGCTAACAGTGATCTCTGTTTCACATGTGTGTGTCGCTCAGCAGCGGGTTTAGTGGGGCGAGGATTGTGGTGTTGAGGACTGATAGGCTCTTGGCACATGGAAACACACTAGGACCAATGACACACACGTGCTTGTGCCATGCGTGCACTGCAGGCCAGACACACAAATACAGTAAGCAAAGGCAAACGCACACAGCCTTTGCTCTAGCTTTTAAAGGCATACTGTACCACATTCTGCCAAAAAAAGAGATCACCTCTGATCTGCCTCCCAGTTCCAGGTGGTTTGATTTATATGCATACTAATGGTTTTAGATGCATTACACCAGCTTGTGTTCAGTCTGTTTCTGTGTTTAGGTGCTTTCTTGTAAGAAATACACAAACATAAGTTAGGAGTATTTATGCAGATTGAAGGGTCAGTAAAATAGCTCCGTGTGCTGTGACTGAGAATAATCAAGTTCATCAGGTTTTGGTGCAGAGCCATGGCTCAGCTGAAGTTCACTCATCTCCAGCTCTTGCTTAGGAGCTTACAGTCAGTGTCTCTCCATCCGCCTTCACATTTCTAATTAACATTTTCTGTGCGAAACGTCAGCCAAAAAGAAGAGACAAATAGTGTTAGATCAATATTCATTTCTGTTTTGGTACAGGAGTGTGTGAGATGTTATTTATTTCAGGGATTGAGAGGATTTTGCCTCCTACTATACTATAGCTGACCAGTCTGCCATTCTCTGAATTTTCTCTGTTGTTCACTTTTCTGACTGTTAATGCAAAAGAAGTCTGTATACATTTGTGGCAGTGCTCATTATGTGTGTAGTATCTCCTGTTTATAGGTTAGAATAATAACTTAAAGGTCTGTTCCTTCCTACCTTAAAAACCACATAGTTAGAATGATGTGCTGAAGCGCCCTCGAGCAAGACACCAATTCTCTCCCTGCTCCAAAGGTGCTCTTCAGTACCCGGTTCTGACCTCTGAGCCCTTGTGGAAAGAGGGTGTGCCCACTGAGAACAAGACTCTCATATCATCAGTTATTTATCATTATATTGGATGTCCCTGGAGAGTACTGGGATCAGCTATGTGGGGCAAGTTGTTCATTTTGAGTGTTTCATCCTTCAAACTGTCTGTGTTCATGCCCCACTGTCAGAGCCAAGTTTGGTTATATTAACATTACAATGACAGGTCATTCATAAATACTCCTAACCAGGAAATTAATCTTAAAAATCTGGCAATACAAAACAAATAGCAATGAAACTGTATTGCAGTTAAAATGCAGGTTACCGTCAGAGTATAAACAGAGAAAACCAGGTACTGTAGTTCACATATTGTACATATTTGCACTGAGAAAACTTTAACTTAGTCTCATGAGGAACAGGCAAATCAAGACATCGGGCTTGTGAGTTGGTAAAGGTGAGAGGGGACAGTCTGCCAGTAAGTTGCAGAACTGGAAACCTAAGACAAAGAAACCGAGAGTTGAAGAGATGAGAGAGAAAAAGGAAAGAGGAAGTTGAAGAGACAGATGGGAATTGATTCTGCGGGAAGGACATTCCTCAGGGTCCTCCTATCCTTCTCCCGTTTCCTATTAAAATAAATTACTTAACTTGAACCTGTGTGCTTCCTGATTTGACTGGTTTTAATGTGACTGCAGGACATCTGTTTGTGTTATGTTCCATTTGATGCATCTAATAGTGTTTCTAACATGCCTTGTTTTGTCTGTGTGTATAAACAGATAAACTTGAGGCTTATTTTAGTCAGCGGGAAGACGAAAGAATTCCTCTTCTCTCCCAACGACTCAGCTGCAGATATTGCCAAACACGTCTATGACAACTGGCCGATGGGTGAGTAGCTCCACTCAGACACGTCAGTGATTGTTCTGTTCAGGGTAATTGATAAAGAACTAGCAGTAGTTACAGAAGTACTGTGCTATATTTAGTCTGCACATGTACTAAAATGTTTGGAAAATGTTGGCATACCCAAACAGAAGGCAGATCCTTGATTTGAAGTATGGATAGGAACTTGTGTGTGTCCCTCATTTGTTCCTGCATATGCACAAAGTACATCTAGCCCTTTAGATTCTTGTGCTGATGTGACTGGCACACCTGCTTCACATTAACAGCTAAATGTAAACTCACCAAATTCTGGTATTTTTGGGATATTTGCTATGTTTTCCATATTCTTCACATAGATAATAAAGACCCATACTGTGCTATTTTGTAATAAATCACATTATTGCATAAGCACATCTGGAGCATATCTGCAGCTGTAGCAGCTAATGCACTAATGCACATGATCTCACTTATCTTGGCTGTTTTCTCTATGACAACGATAAAGTCAGCTGTGGAGCTATACTGTGTTTACAGAGCACTGCTACACCAGAGGTAGAATTCCTTACACTGCCTTCAGATCTGAACAGCCTGTAGCCTGTTCCACTGTGCTGTAAATGTAGTTCAGTTTAGGAGAAGCCAGTGATGCATGAAAAACTATAAATTACACTGATGGACTCAGATTCCTCTGGACAGAAGGGGTTTCCTTTCAGTCCTGTCAGTTTTGGAAGCTCCTTGCGTTCCTCCCAGACAACAGATCTGAACCCTGTGAGACCCAGAGCAGGCTCTCAGTCAGCACCAACACCCTACGCCTAGCAGAACACAAACATCTGGTGGCCAGACTCTGCTGCCGTGCAACTCCCTCCGCTGGTTTCTCTCCCGTTCAGTGGCGTCACTTTTGTCTCCAGCTCTTCCAGGCCACACCTTGTGTTCTTCTTTTGCTTTGAGACTTTCTCACGTTCTGTAGTGCATCCCACAAAGCCCACATATTATACATTCTGTATGTTATGAGCTAAAATAAAGGTCTCAAAATATCTGCATTGCGGTGGTTGGTGGTAATTTTTTCCAGATACAATCACAGATTTCTTTTCACTACGCTGTCTTAGATTGATTAAAAACAGGACTAATACAGTAGTTACACAGTCAATGTTTTTTCTTATATCTGCTCTGCTGAACATTCTTCGTGTCCTTTTCAAACGAGACCCTGGGAACCTTCATTAGCAGCGTTCAGTCAGAAGCTGACTATTTACTTTGGTTTTTAAAGCAAATAAAGATTGCAAAATGTCATTATTTAACCATTATGTTCTCAGTTTGCTTTATAGATGATGATGATGTTTTATGCGAAATAATTTCAGTGACAACAGAGAGGAAATAAGAAAACATGAAGCTGGTCATCTGTTCCTCTTGTTAGTTTTTCTCGTAAACCTTCTCTTTCCATCTGTCTCTGCCCCTTCCTTTTTTTTCAGACTGGGAGGAAGAGCAGGTCAGTAGCCCAAACATACTGAGGCTGATCTACCAGGGACGTTTTCTACATGGCAACGTAACACTAGGAGGTGAGAAAACACACAAAACCTATGTGCTCGTAGACATGCACACAAAATCACAGCAGTGTGCTGCTGGAAAGTTCTTTGCTGTTCTCATCTTTTTCCTGAGCCACAGAACAGAGGCACCTCAGTGCTCCGGACAAGCCTGCTTTGATGGAGACAGGGAGGAGAGAGGAAATACAGAAAAAGAGAGTGGTCTGGCCTTTGAGTAGAGCTCAGGCAGCATAAAGAAGAGACAGAAGTGAAGGGAAGAGAAAAGGAGGATGTCTTGTTTATAGGCGACCTTCACCTTGGCTCTTCGGCCTTTTGGCCTACTTAACCCAATTTTGATTTGACTGGTGTTTTGTGCGGTTAACGTGGGTACAGCCATCCCAGCCCTTTTATGTTCTTCCCATTATTTCCATCTATCTGATAATTCACCTATCGTTGGTTTAACGTGTTTGCACGCTGACTCATAATCTTCTTAAAGTGGAGCCAAACCTACCAGTGGTTTTGGCATGCAAACAGACACCACACCTATGTTAAGGGAGGCGTCACATGAACCGAGAAGCTGTATTGCAGCTAATAGATTAATTACAGTTTAATGTATGGTTGTTAAGGTGTACACGTAAGTTGTTTCTGTTCAGTTTTTCAAATCAGTTTTATTTATATAGCGCCAAATTACAACAAAAGTCATCTCAGAACATCTTACAAAGTAAGGTCTAGGCCTTACTGTAATTATTATTATAGAGTGGAAAAAACCCAACAGAGCAAGCACTTGGTGACAGCAGGGAGGAAAAACTCCCTTAAATGGATGAAACCTCTGACTGGACGAAACCTCGGACAGGGCAAAACCTCTTGGTGGGCGGCCTTGTGCCTCGACCGGTTGGGGTGAGAGGATAGAGGAGAGAGAAAAGAAAAGAAAAGCAACAAGACACAGCAAACGATCAGACGCTGGGTAGGTTGATGTGGCCGGTGACTGCTCGAATATTACAGTAGGACTAGTGCTGCTCGTTATATTACAAACTAGTCAGTAGTAGTTTACATACTCATTTTGCACATGCACAATTGCACACTCACTGCCCAGTATTTACACTCCATGGCTCCCACGTAGCATATATTCTCCCTGCATTATATGGTGTTCTTGTTATATTTTTATTTGCTTCCTTCACCTGCTGCTTTAACGTGCCTTTGCTTTGTGATTTTACTGCCTATTTAGATTTGTGTTATTGCTCATCTACTTTATATTTCACTTGTATTATGTGGCATTCATGTGGACGGCAAAGTAAGACTTTCACTTTACAGGGAAACACATTTCCTAACTGTGCATATGACAAATAAACCCTTTGACCTTTGAATTAATCTGACTGATCTTCCTGACAGCTATTGATGGCCTTTCATTTCGGTATAAAACTAAACAGCTTTAAATAGTTAGGTCAACGGTGAACATTATGGCCTGTTTAGTTGTCTCAACATTGTACAAAGAAAAAGAATATTGTATAAAATGAAACTGTAAGTAGCTGATTTTGATCATCAGTGATTTTGGACAAGATAAATAACACAATTTTGACTGTACCTTTTCTGTTCAACAATTTTAATTCTGATTTACCCTCTAGTCCTGTTGAACCTGGATTCTTTCAAATTTTTGCTTAGTGATTTTAGTTACCACACTTTCCACTCGGTGGGAAACGGTTCAAGCTATTCTGCAAAAAGAAACATATTTACTTTTAGGAACAGCCGCTCACCTTGTGTGAAATGACCAAGTTTGTTCAAATAAAGGTTTACATTCCTGGCTGTTTCAGGCTCATTCCTTACCTGCAAGACTTTAATATCCTGCAACTAAATGACCTTGTAGTTGTATATTTTGACAACTTCAGCCATAGTTTATTTCATGAAGCAGCTCAAACATAGTTAGTAGCTTGTCTTTCTTTTGCACCTATTATTCATTACCCAGCTTAACTATTTCCAGTGTAGAGTAGTTTGTACCCTGCTGTTTTAGAGAGCAGTTAAAGAGTCAGGTGATACTGATTGTGAACGACTTTGTAAACATGTGTTTGGTTGCTCACTGAATACCCTCTAATTCTCCCTGTCTCTCTCTTGCCCTTCTCCCTCCACCGCCAGCTCTCAAACTGCCTTTGGGGAAGACCACAGTGATGCATTTAGTTGCCAGAGAGACTTTGCCTGAGCCAAATTCCCAAGGTAACCAGCTCCGAGTCTCCCTTCTTTCCTTTCAGAAGGCCTTTCACATGCTGAGCAACTTTAAACATTCTGCTTCCAGCCATTATTTATCTCTACACATGGCTTCTGTTTTAGGAACTGGTGCAAATAATTGGCCCCCTTACATGCAGTCCCAAGATACAACACATTGTGCAGAATAAACAGCGAATATAAATCATATTCTGTGACGGGTCTTTGTGTTATGACTGTGTAGCAGGGGGAGACGCTGGGCCGACTTTATCTTTGGATTAGACGAGGCAAATTGTCAAAATTCAGGTCATGGGTGTATGTGGGTATGGACAGAAGGAACATGTCCCTTCCAGTGTCAAGATGTTAAACTACCACCGAAGAAAGATCAAATTAAGAACTTCATATAGTCCCTACTGGATTGTCTGAAGGATATTTAACTTGGATGTTGTAGAATTTTCTTTTTTAAACAAAAGAACAACTGAAATAGCAGTCTTTGGACCCATTGCCCCCTTGGTTCTCCTAATGACTGACCTGACTACAAACCTCATTCAGGGAACCCAGGTGGTTTTAAATTGATAAACAAATAAACTCAATAGTCAAATTGAGCCTTTTTTCGGCTGAGAGTTCTGGCTAAAGTCAAGAAGTTCTTTCCTTTACCAACTTTGAAAAAGTGACACATGCTTTTATCCCATCCCAGCTATTGTAATGCTTTATACACAGGAATCAGCCAGTCTTCACCCTCCCGCTTGCATTTTGCTCAAAACGCTGCTGTCGGGCTCTTGACAGGTGCACATAAATATGACTGCATTCACTCTGTGTTATTGTGTCCTCACTGGCTCCCAGTTTGTTACAGGATTGATTTTTAAGGTTTTGTTGCTTTTAAGTCACTCAGTGGGCTGACACTGTCCTACTTCTCTGAGCTTTTAAAACCACATGCACCATCTAGATCCTCCAACCGGATGCTGTTGGTTGTTCTCAAGTCTAGATTGAGGGGACTGTTCCTTTGTGGTAAGGGCTCCTAAACTGTGGAGCCACTCCACATGAGGACTGCTTCAACCCTGGCAACTTTTATATCCCAGCTTTTCTCCTTGGCTTTTAACTCAAAATCAAATGTTTTCCATTTACAGTTAGTAATGTTGTGCTTTTATGGTTGTTTCCTTGATGTAGAGTGTGTTTTTATTAATTTTCTATTTATTTTTACTTATTCTGTGCATCACTTTGGTCAGTTTAGTTATTTTTAAATGTTATTATGAATGAATTGACTTGCTGAAAGTGTCATTTTTCCAGATTTATTATTATAAAGACATCAGGTCCATTTTAAATAGTATGAAGTGCAGTTAACACATGAGCTTTGCTAAAAATAACGTTCTGTGATCAATCCAGACATATATATTTTTTGTTTTCTATTGCTATCTAATGCCACCACCCCCCTTAACATAAGTGCATCAAGAGCAAAGTAATCATTTTATTCTGAAAATCCTGTCATCAGCAGCCTGAGCAGCACAGACACACACACACACACACAGGTGAGCTGCAGGCTGTCGTCCCCTGGTGGCTGATGGCAGTAGAGAACAATCCCCACCCTGTCCATGTTGGCAAATGGGACATGAGCCAAACTAAAAGTTCAAATCAAATCAGTCTTTGTATGCAGATACTATCTCACTGATTTGTGTTCGAGTTGTCTTTTTTTTTTTAAACAAGTCACTCTATTATAAAAATTAGCTGGATGTACTAGCTTAAACCTGTAGACCAGTCTACCAGTGTGTTTGTGAAACTGGCCTTAAATCACATTTAAAATAAAATGTTCTGTGTCTATATTTAGCTGGTTACCTCTCATTGTTTGTCTTGATGATGACGTTTATGTGTTTGCGTTCCCAGGTCAGAGGAATAGGGAGAAGACCAGGGAGAGTAACTGCTGTGTCATTCTGTAAATACACACCTCCGCTGCCGGCCCTCTGTCCTTCTCATCCGTTCCCACCCTCGGTGAACTTGTCCTATGTCCTGGAGTCTGTCCACAATGTGCATATGCATACAGACAAGCACACAGAGTCTCCTCCTCTTGTTTTTTCCATTGTCTCACACATACATAAAAAGACAACAGGCTTAGGCTGATCCAGGGCACAGAACAGGGAGCAGGAAATTGATTATCGATACAGTTGATTCCTTTGTTCTACTTGATTTGTTGTCATTACTGAAAATTAGGGGAAGGAGCTGGATTTGCATCTGACCTTTCTTACTTTCCTAATGCACACCTTTTTAAACCCTCTGCCATACACACACACATCAGACACACACCCATCATCTTCAGCTGGTCTGTTAAAAGCCAGTTTCTAACTGGCTTCTCATTCTAGCTGGTTATCTGTAGTTGTCTGTGTGGCCTTGTTTTGCCACACTGAGAATTTAAACCACTAACTCACCAACACACATTCTCATACACACACACACCCTGTCTACACGTCCAACCATATGTGCTTGTGTGATCTCCCTCAGTGCAGCAGACGAAGCTTAGATGTGTTTGATCAGAGAACTCAAACTAGGGGACACACACACATATACACGCACACATGCCTGTGTCCGTTTTACTGCCCTTCTCTACGTGTGCCCGTAAGGGTCACAAAAGAGAAATTTTTCCTGTAGAGCTGTAGAGACCGAACACATCCAGCTCTTTTCAGTTGTCATATTTGACCCAAACAAGGCCCAACAAACAGATGAACAACCCATGTTGTGGTCTTGTTTTGGTTATTTGTTTGACCATGACATTTGTGACTGTGTTTTGACAGTCCCGGCATATTTCTGACCGACCAGTGTTGTGATTATTAAAACCTCACGTCAGTTTTCTTCCCATTCCTCCCTCCCAGGACAGGCTTGTCATGCTCCTGTTTTAACAGCATTGTGAAGGATCTTTCTGACCTTTGCTGTCCAAGCAGGGAAATTAACTCAGAATGGAAATGTTTGTCTTAATTCTCCTTAATTCTCTCTCTCTGCATTAATAAGTGCATTTTGCACAACAGAAGCATGTGCTCCATCAGATTAATAAAAATGTATAAAGGTTTTTGTGTTATTTTATATTTTTTCAATGGAAGTAATGTTCCAAACCAAGGTAACATGTGTAGAATATATTTAATAAGAATCTTATCTAGAACATAATGACTCTAGATCTCGTTGATAAGCAGTATATCGGTGTTTAGTCTACGATTGTGTGTACGGTTAGCTTCTAGCCAGGTCACAGTCACCCGCTGACCATGTCTTGTGCATAACGGCAGCAAAACCTCCCTGATCACTGATGATTTGTTTTCTTTCTTCTGTGCTCTTTTATTACTTTTTCATCTGTTTATAATTTAATGTAATCCTTTTTCTTTTGTCTTTTCTTTTAAAAAAAATCACTTTGTAACAGCGCTAGATCTTAAAAGAAATATTGTTTATATTGATCAGGGTTTAAATCTGTACAGAAATAAACATTTTCGATTGTAAATAGTACTAATGCTCCCTTTCCCTTCTCAAAACTTCAAAATGGAATACATCTGTAAACTAAATAAAGGTTACTGAAGTGCACTGCCTTCTGTCATGACTCACTGCACTTAAATCATAAAGCTCTTCGGTATCACTTGACTCTGAGCCTGCTGATGACACCCGGTGCAGTGATCTTTAAAAGTGACTGTCACGACTCTCTGCAAGGGTTTCAACAGCCTGCTGAATCAGATGGGTAACTTCTTTTTTTTTTAGATATGATTAAACTAATGTACAGCTATCTGACAGTTTAGTGGGAATGGGTTGTGAAATACTTTGGTAGAAATTATATTTCAGTGTCTTTTGGAAAACTGTCAGCAGATGAGGTTAGTAGAGAACTTGGTTAGAATTAAGGCGGCATATAACTTTACACACCGGAAGTACAACTATAGTAGTATTTAGAACGTTATCTACACATACTGTATACCAGAACATAAATATACTCCATCACAAGTAAAAGTCCTGCATTCAGAAGTAAAATGCACAGTGTGGTTTGTGGTGACAGTAAATTGTAAACTGCATTTGTTGTTGATGTGGAGCCAATTTACACAGCTTTATGTATTTGTAGGTATTTACATAATAGCACAGAATGTGTGCTGACTTAGAAGTTTAGTTATGCTTTATAAGACCAGTGATAATATGCATTGCACTACAATATGGGAAAACCATACATAACTGCCTGCTTTGGCCATTGCAATGTTTCTTGTTAGCAGTTCCAACAGAAAGGTTCTGTAATTCTCCACTAAACCTCTCACATGGCTTCGTATAAATAACTGTTCAAAGCTCAAAGAGGTTAAACTACCTGCAAATCCACATAAAAACAAGAATTACAGAAAAGTCCAAAAATGATTACGACTATCAGAACTTTTGTTTTCTTACTTTCTGCCCCATGAATCATCTCGCAAGCTCTCAGATTAATGACCCCTATACACTGGGAACCACTTAATGGTCGAATGTAAAATAAAACCAGCTTCGGATTCACAGATGCATCAGCATTAATGTAATAATAATATAATATTAACAAGGAGTCTTTTTAATGAAGAATGAGTACTTCTACTTTTGCTGTTTTAAGTGCAAGAAATGAAGAACCTTTACATTTACTGGAGTACTTATTTTCCACCACTGTATAGTAATATGACATGTTGTGTGTGTAAGATTTTAATTTGTAAGGTAACTCTAGCAAACAAAGTTAAGGCAAACCACATTGGCATGAAGAAGCAGCAGTGGACTGTCAAAGACTTCATAAAGCTGGCCTACTTTCTGCTCACTCAGCATTCAAGCTCATAAAATTGTAATGCCGGAAAGAATAAAATTACATTTCATCACTTTTTTTCTGTGACAATCATGTAGCGGTAAAGTCGCTTGTACATTTTGCACAGCAGTCAGCAGGCCAAAGAACAGCAGGAAAAACAGTGTGGAACACAGAACACAGCTTGGCCTGATGAAGCGAGAGCTAAGGTGACACAGGAAACGTGTAACACTGCTGTGTGTCTCTGAACTTCACTAACATGGCAGCACAGGATGAAGATTTTCTATGAAGTTAGTTCACCAAAAGATGATCACTGTACTTCTGTGGCCTTCACTGAATCCGTGTGTGGTTTTCCCTATCCTCCTCCCTGCAGTCATGCTGTGTCCACCACACAGTGACTGTACTCAACATGAATATTTACACTCTTCTATTTACACTCTCACACACACACACACACACACATATAGAATAGAACACAGAGAGAGATGTTTGTGGTTACACTGGCGCCACTCAGGGTGGCACATTCTGTTTGTGTGACATTAAACCGCTCAATATTGCTGCTGCCTGGCCTCTGAACAATACAACAGTCTCTTTATACCAACAAACTCTTGTTCCAAAGACAGTGTTAGTCTGCATGAGTACATATTTTGCAGTTTTATTTAATATATGCAACATTTACAGCAGTGATATTGAAGTATACGGCTAGGCTACATCTATAAACAATAAAACCAATTTCATGATTTCATGCGTCTGACACTGACTACAACAACAAGGCATAAAATGAATAGAGCTGGAGTGGTGGGCATGTACTGGGAACCAGTCATTAAACTGCACATTTATTACTCATGTTTGGGTGGATTACATAGGCAATAATATACCATGGGCCAAGTAGTATAGTAAGACATGATGTTCTTTGTGTGACCTGTCACAGACTGCATTAAGGTTTGAGGATGCTACCATCTTCTGGCAAAATCCCTCCTTTACATCACTACAACAACCAGTGCTATACTGTAAATGCACACAACAGAAGGTGACTGGAATAAAATCTTCCACCATCTAATGTGGAGCATTGTGCCGCAGCGTTTTTAGTAAACACATGATTATCTACATTTAAATTTTGACATGATCACATTTGTCCGTTAAAGTTTTTTCCTCCCAAGAACACTGATGATCTCCCTTTTATATCAGTCTTTCTCATTTATTACAGTTTGGAAGGAAATCTGTGTTGATGTTTATTTAAATATTTCTGTGTATATACAGTGGGTACGGAAAGTATTCAGACCCCCTTAAATTTTTCACTCTTTGTTATATTGCAGCCATATGCTAAAATCATTTAAGTTCATTTTTTTCCTCATTAATGTACGCACAGCACCCCATAGACAGAAAAACACAGAATTTTTGACATTTTTGCAGATTTATTAAAAAAGAAAAACTGAACTATCACATGGTCATAAGTATTCAGACCCTTTGCTCAGTATTTAGTAGAAGCACCCTTTTGAGCTAATACAGTCATGAGTCTTTTTGGGAATGATGCAACAAGTTTTTCACACCTGCATTTGGGGATCCTCTGCCATTCCTCCTTGCAGATCCTCTCCAGTTCTGTCAGGTTGGATGGTAAACGTTGGTGGACAGCCATTTTCAGGTCTCTCCAGAGATGCTCAATTGGGTTTAAGTCAGGGCTCTGGCTGGACCATTCAAGAACAGTCACGGAGTTATTGTGAAGCCGCTCCTTCGTTATTTTAGCTGTGTGCTTAGGGTCATCGTCATGTTGGAAGGTGAACCTTCGGCCCAGTCTGAGGTCCTGAGCACTCTGGAGAAGGTTTTCGACCAGGATATCCCTGTACTTGGCCGCATTCATCCTTCCCTCGATTGCAACCAGTCGTCCTGTCCCTGCAGCTGAAAAACACCCCAT